TCTCAAACCCCCATCAGGTATTGTAAATAAGAGGCCATTCCTTTTCCAGTCTGATTCTTATCTTTTTATCTCTGCAGCTTGATCTTCTGTGGACCCGGAAGCAGAATGTGATGTACAACCTATTTGACTGGCCAACCCAAAAGCACTCCAAGCTAATCATCCTGGCCATTGCCAACACCATGGACCTGCCAGAGAGAATCATGATGAGCAGAGTAGCAAGCAGGCTGGTATGTTCTAGTGGTTCTCTAGCTATGCCATAAAAGGAGAACAGATTAAATACTGGATGTGATCAAAAGCAATACAGGAGAAAAGTAGGATTGGTTATATCAGAAGCTGAACATGTTTTTTCTAATTCCCTCTCCAGAAGATTGATAATGAACATATAAATCTAAGTTCAGGAGCTTGTTTGCTAATCAGGTATTGTGCTGTGTATGTACACTTAGAATTAAATAAATATATGGATGACTTTTAAAATATATTAAGATTTGGATAATCAAATGCTGTGCTTCATGGTTCAGCTGCTTACTCTGAAGTTCTCTTCCTCTTTCCCCTTTCATTCCAGGCACATACTTCTCTGTTTGCCATCGTCAGTTGGTAGATTATATAAAGGTATCCAACAAAGAAAGTTGGATGCACTCTCCACTTGTTTTGAATATATTTTCCTAGGTCATCTCACCACAGCTCTGAAAAGTGATTTTCAAAAACAGTGCTCTGTGCCTCTATCCTTCCATGACTCAAACACAGCTCCACAGGGTGTGAATTGCTTCCCCCCACCCACTAAACCCACTGCAGATCAGCTGAGTCCATATAGTCACAAGAGAAGTTTTGCATAAGAAATCCAAAACTCAGGTCTCCTGTGGGATGAAAGGCAGTGCACCATCTGTAACATCGATTCTCATCTGAGGGCAGTTCTTAATGGCTTGAGCCAGAAGAAGGTTTTAATTCTTGGCTGATGGCTAACTTGAAGTCAACACACACATTTACAGATTAGCTAAAGGAGACATTAATATTTTTCCACAGCTGCTGCCATTATTGTATTAAAAAGTAACATGTAAACAGATGTAATCAAGATATTTTTGTACTGGGGAATTGGGGAGCTCTGATTTGTTTAAAAGGTTTTTTATTAGAGCAATCTGAATTCTGATAGGAGCTTCACTTGCTCTTCAGGTCTTTCAGTGGGGAGATCCAACTAATGGTCCTCACCAAATCAGAGTTTTGTAGATTTCTTCATTTGTTTTACAAATGTGATGGATTAAAGTGTGTCACTAGGAGGGAAAGGATGTGAAAGACTGATTGCTCCTACCAGAAAAAGTGAAAGTAACCACACAGGCCATGCTTCAGCAGTTGAAAGTTTTCCAGCCCCACAAACACTTCTCACTGTGTTGTGTTATTTGTTGTAGGGCCTCACCAGAATGTCCTTTCAGCCCTACACCTACAAACAGTTACAGCAAATAGTTTCATCCAGATTGAAGGGTGTGAAGGCATTTGAAGAGGATGCAGTTCAGCTGGTTTCCAGAAAGGTGAGTACAGAGCAGATAAATGTCCTTCATGTTGCACTGGGTGAAAAGTGTGGGGACAGCAAGGGAGAGTTTTGTAACAACTGTTAGACCTGGTCCTGTGGTTGTGTTCTGTATTGGAGGCAAGTATTGGGGCACAATTAGGTCATACATTACCCAGGGTATTTTCTCAGGAGACATTGCTAGAGCAGTGTCCTTGCTTTTTCCACCTACTTTGAGAAGGCAGCAGCATCTTCCAGGAGCTGAAGGCATGACAGGAGTCGTGATGATAAGATGTCAACTGTCTCCACTGTTTAGCATAATGTGAGTCACTGGAGAATCCTGAAAAAGATAACATGCCAGTGGCAGTGGAAATAGCCTTATAAATTTTATTTCTCAAGATGTTCAGTGCCTTGTCATAATAGATAATACCTGTTCTGTTTGCAAGTTGTAATACTCAGTTGGTACAAAACATAAGTAATGCATTTGGGATCAACAGCTTCTCAATTGAGATATGTGCACTGCTAATGTTTTGAATTAGCAGCTCTATATTAATCTATTAAAATTATGTCAAAACATCCTACATCATTGTAGGATTAAAAAAGGGTGCTCATAAATATGTCATAAGTAAATACAAGCATGTGTTTTGTTGTGAAGGAGCCACTTCTCTGTAAGAATAATAGTGAGGGTTTGCAGAGGGAGTAATTGCAGTGTTTTGCTAGTATGAGTTTTCTTCAGAAATACAGAAATATACCTTGCAATTAGATTTTCTATGGAGTTTCTCATTCTTGGCCCCAGCTGGGTTTTAGGGCTTTTGTATATTACCAGCATCTGCTGGGAAAACTAGGCCAGTACTATATGTGTTGAATGTTCATATCTTTATTAAAACTGTAAATTACAATTGGGGTTTTAACAAGTATTTAGTTTCAGAAATTTCAGACACCTAAAAATTTTCAGGCACTTGTAACAGTAAATCGACTATCCTGGATCTTTCTTTGAGACCTTCTTGAATTACTAGTGTACTCTTAAAATCAATATTTGAATGACTACTGAAAAACCTAAATTTTTTGGTGTCATAGCCACCCTCCCTTTTCTTTTTCCTTTTTCTTGATCCTGGATTATGGTGAAGGTTTTCACTGATAATTAAACTGATATTTCTGAAAGCTTTTGGTGTTGAAGTGAACTGCTCACCTTTAAATTTTTTTGACCTCTGTATTATAGAAAAAAGTTCAGCCTTGAATTTATGATGACCAGATCAGGGTGGGGGTGTGAGAGATGTGGAGAGTTGCTTCTGTTGGTTTTGGTCAGTAAGCTCTGTTGTTCGGGATCTGGGATTGTAGTAAGATAGTCCAGAGATGCGTTGGTCTCCCACTGGGTGCTCAGGGTGTTTGGGGTTAGTTTGTCTGTTGATTCTTGCTAAACTGTCCCCGGCTGTTTGGAACTGTTGTCACAAACGTGTCACGTTCCCTTGCAGGTGGCAGCGCTGTCCGGGGATGCGCGGCGGTGCCTGGATATCTGCAGAAGGGCCACGGAGATCTGTGAGTTGGCCCAGCAGAAGAGAACCCCGGAGATTGTCAGGATGGCCCACGTGACTGAAGCCATAGATGAAATGTTCTCATCACCGTATGTCAATGCAATCAGGTGAAAATACTCCCTTTGCTTTTGTGTCCCTTTCACAGCACTAGCTTTTCAAAAACAAAAATGATGATGCCAGAGTCGCAGGCTGTGATACAATGGCCACTTGTGACATAAACTGCCTACCCTGTGCTTAAATATGTAGCTCCTAAGTAATTTCCCTTCCAGACTTTGCCTGATGTTTCATGGGTTCTGAGCTTCACAAATGGATTTTTGTCTGTTTTGTTTTTTGACTTAGGAATGCTTCGTTGCATGAACAAATCTTTTTGAAAGCAATTTTGGCAGAGTTTCGCAGGGCAGGAGTTGAGGAGGCAACAGTACAACAGGTATGGGGCTTTTTTGTTACTGACAACAATGATCTGGACTACAAGGGGTTTTTTTTTTTTTTTGTCCTGCATGTTAAAACATCTCATGCTTCTACCTAACATGCTTTATAACAGGAAGAATCAAAGAGAAGCTGAAATTATCAGGCAACAGTTCAAGGAGGAAAACTGAAAGTTGATTCCAACTTGTGCATCACTGTTTTTCTTCATAGAGGCAGATATGTCACTGGTAGCTTTGTTTTTTTTAGTAGACCCATAAAAGACTGGGTGCCAGCAGAGCTGTGAAGACTCTGGAGTAGTCATGAGTAGTGTGGAAGCTAAATGTTATTACTTATACAAAGATGTAGTTCTAAACATTTTTGTATATAATTACAGCATCTAAACAGGCTGGAGCTATTTTATCTCCCATGGATGTGGAGGGAAAGCAGCTTCTCACTATGTCACCTTGTCACTCAGTTGCAGCAGGCAGTAAACATAACCTGTGTCCTTTTTTTCAACAGATTTACCACCACTACGTGGCCTTGTGCAGGGTGGAGGGCCTGCAGAGCCCTACGGTGTCAGAAATCATGGCAATTTGTTCAAGGCTTGGTGCCTGCAGGCTCTTGCTGGTGGAGGCCAGCAATAAATATCTGCACATGCGGGTGCGACTGAACCTCAGCCAGGATGATGTCATGTATGCACTCAGGGAGGAATAAAGCAAAAGAGATTTTATTGCTTTTAATATGTATAAATATTTTAAATACCGTCTATTTTTATTTTTTTTAATTATTGATAAAATGGAAATAGTGAAATGTATTTTTTTAAAGGCTTTGCTTATTTGATGTATGAAAGTACTCTTTTAATAATAAAGAATTCATTTCAAAGCATTTTAAGTATTTCAAAGTGTTTGTTTTTAGAAGTATTTTTAAGTGCTGATAGCTGGTGCCCTTTTAATTGAGATGTATGAATTTAGGATGAATTATTTGAAGAAGATTACTCGCATCACTTTTTTTTTAAGGCTCATGGTGTCTTTAGTATTCTGTAGATTTTCCACAGTGACTTTTACACTCAATGAAAGGCGTTGTTAAAATCTGCTTAAACTTTTCCTTACTAACATAATTAAAAGGAACTTCCAGTTTGCAATCCAACATAATTAAAAAGAACTTCCAGTTTGCAAGGCAGGCTCGATGTTGGAATGGAGGAGGCTGTACCAATACCGTGAACACGGGCTGTGCCAGTGCAATGCCCACCTCCTTGGAGCGATCGCTACCCGGGCCTGCCCCTCGGTGCCGGGTGAGCGCAGGGGACGGCGCGGGCAGAGCGGGGCCGGGCCCGCCCCTCCGCGCAGCCGCGCAGCCGCCGGGCGGGCCCACCCTGAGCCGCGCCGGGCGGAGCTGCCGCACGGGCGGGAGCCGAGGTGAGCCGGGGCCGGGCTCTCTCTCCGCGGTTCTTCGTGCGGCTCCGGCCCAGCGCCCCGCGGTCCCCCTGAGCCGGCCGGGGAGCGCCCGCAGCCGGCCGGGTCCCGCCGCGCTGCCCGGGCGGAGCGCGGCCGGGCTGCTGGGCCCCGCGGCGCTGCCCCCGCTGCGCTCACGGCGGGGCAGCGCTCTGAGGGACGGCCGGGGGAGCGGCGGGGCCGCGTCCGTCCGCGGGCTTTGCCTGGGCACGGGCTGTAAGTTCCGTGTGCTCTCAGTCCTACAGAGACACAGCCCTCTGAAATTCATGAACCAGCATGCTCGGCAGGAGACCTAAAAAGAGCCCTCAGGCAAAGGGCCAGGGAGCTGCAGTTGCGAAGCAGGTAAGGAGGGCAGAGGGCCAGGGGGATGTGGTTGCAGAGCAGGCAGGGAAAGCTCCCACTGCTCCTCGGGATAGTCTCCTTCAGACCTCTCGCTGCTGTTTCCTGCAGCAGCTCCCATGTGGTACTGCAGGATCGTGGAAAAAATTAGATTGTGTGGTGCCTGTTTTCCTTCCTTCTTCAATGCATTCTTCTTCAAGTAAATATCTGATAGGCAGCTGTGGAGGTCTTGCAGGGAAGGCACGGTGTTGTAATGCTGTAATCTTTGCATGAGACCTCATGACTCATGCTTACAGTATTTTCTTAGCCGAGCTGTGTTGAGATTTAATAATAACTTCAGTGACCCTGTGGAGGTTTTCCTTGCATCTCTCAAAAAACAGAAATAAGAACAGCAGAATATCAGGTAACAAATTAAGGGACATATATGGGAGAATATTAAGGTACTTAACAAGAGACAGTTAATTTTGATTTCCCTTTGTATAGTCATTTTTTTTGTGTAACAGATAGACTGATATGCCCCTTTCCTGTAGATAAAAGTGAGTTTAGCTGTGCCTGTGTGTTGAAGTTTTTTTTCCATACTTATCTACCTTTTGATGGAGTTTCTGAAGTCTTGTGGAGAGAAACAACAATTAGTCATGGTTGGCAGGTGTAGAAAGTCAGGCGACAGTGTCAAAATTAGAAACACAGTCAAGGCAAAATTCTGGGTAGAAAACTGACGGGAAGTTAATGTAGTTAGAGTTAAAGAATATGTTAGAACCAGAATGGAATTTCAGAAACCTTTGAAGGTAGAATAGAGGCAAGTAACAGGTGGAATAACTGGTAAGAATATAGAGAAATGTGAAAAGGGATTGTAATGGGCTATTAGAACAGAGAAAATAGCTAACGTGTTCTCTTTTGGTGATTTCTTAGGAACCAGGGTTCTCATACTGAGAGCATAATGCTGTTGTTAGTGATCCATAATGTCACTGTGGCTCCAGTGTGAAAGTTTGCATTTATGAGTAAGAGAGATAGTGTATAACTTAGTTAATCTGAACAGGGGAGAAGATAAAAGGTGAAAATATCTTTCCTCCTTCTGGGAAAAAAAAAAGAAACCTCACTTTGAAAAGACAGAGTGTAATTCAAGGATCTGATTAATAGATTTTTCTAATTCAATACAATTAATTATTCAGCCTGCCTTACAGAACGGATGAGTGTTTCTTGAAGCAAATGGCTTGTTTTCTTGCAAATTAATTCAATTTAAAATAGGTTTCTGTTGTGTAGTGTATCAACTGAAAACTTTTTATAACTTATTTTTTCAGTTTTATTAAACATTGCTTCAGTACTGCTAATGTAATTGGAAATGTTCTTTATTGAATGGCTTGGGACTCGGAGCTAGAACTGCTGAGTTGTGTTCTGGACTTCATGGTTGCTGCAGTTGCTTCACTGTCCACTCTTGCAGTGTGGTAATGAACAGGTGCTGATGTGTTCTGCACATTGATAAAGGCCTATGTGTGTTCCATAGAACTTGAATCTTTAGATCACCATTGTAAATATTTCCTGTTTAAATCTTGTCCTCGCCTTCCTTCTGTTCTAGCCAAGTGTGTAAATACTTTTGTTTTGCTTTACAGCTGGGAGATGGATAAGGCAGAGGGTGGCTGACAGATCTGCCCAGTGCCTTATGGAATGTCAAGGGCAGGATCAGAGCTAGGAAAGAAACTGCTGCTGATTTTGATTGCTGTTGCTGGTCCTTGGAACCAATGTTTCTCAGCTATGTGTTTCACATTCTCCTTTGGGATTATAAAATGGTCCAGAGAGGGACACAGAATCTTTCAGGGCAGTAGCCACCAGCACTTTGATTCCTACTTGTTTAAAAAAACCCAAAACTATTACTCACATTAATTTATAAACTGACAAGCAGCTTCTTGCAGCACTTCAGATGCTCAAGACAGAAGGAGATTGCTGACCCTCAGAATAAGGACAGCTGATGTTTTTTCCTGTGCAGGAGAGAAGCTGAAGTGCTGCCTTCTTGGCCATGTAGGGATCAATAAGGGCTTGTGCTTTGGAAAAGTTTGGGGAAAGCTTCACCTAATTCATGGGTTGAATTGAATTCTGTTCATTCTTGTTTATAAAAAAACTTAGCATACTTAAGATATTTTTTTCTGGGGCAGTTAGTATTTTAACCAGAAACACAAAAACAGTGATGAAATGGTATTTTAAAATAATACCTTTTGGACTAAGACCCCAGAGACTCCTTTGATGTACTTTGGAATGTTTTGCCACAAGAGAGTGATAACCCCTACTGTCATATTCTGATTACTGTTATTAATGCTATTCCCTGAGATGTTATCTCTCAGCTGATGATCTGTGCCAGCCAGTTCTGATGGTTTTCTCCAGTGCAGTGCTGGCATTGCTGGGTTTTAATGGCTGTGTTTGTTTCTATGGGATTTAGAAACTGATGTAAGAAGACAGAACAGTTCTGTGTTTATAAATGTAACTTCTTCAAGAGATAAGGATGAAGTCTCTGCAGTGTGCATATGTCAGACCTGTTGTGTGTGTACCATGAGTGAATATTTTTTAGCTTAGCTGTTAGAGGCACTGCCCTGAACTTCCTGATGCTATCTGCTCCATGAAGTTCAGTAAAACAAACATTTTACTCTACCTTGTTATGTCAGACTGTTACACAGGATTGATTTTAAGAAATAGTTTATGTAGAGTTTTAAAGGGAGTACTTGTGAGGTATTAAGATTTATAAACCTTACACCAGTTACGGGTGCCTGGTATGCATTGTTGTGGTAATAGAAGTGATATGATAGTGGGCTGTAAAAAAAAATGAACAGGATTCAGAATGCATGAAAACGTTTAAATAATCCATGCAGTGTGATGTTTTTGAGTGTCATCTTTGTTCTAACTGTAGGGTATTTTATTATTTTCTGTTGTTATTTTCCCTTGGCTCCAGCTGGGGCTGTTTGTGGATTTCAATCCTGAAGAGATGCTGCTGGGTGCAGAGGAAGCTGAGGATGATGGGGACCTCGAAGCAGAGCTTGCCGCTATCACAGGAGCAAAAGTGAAAGAAGGAAAACCAAAACCAAAGGTGAAAAGTAAGTTAAAGTATCTGAATTTAATTTAACTTTGTTA